AAGGTAAATGATAACTTCATCCAAAATCTGCTTAGATTAACTTTGTGGGAGAAGGGAGTTCAAATGACTCTCTTCTTGAGGATAGATAAAATACCTATATAGATGAACTGCTGGTATGGCTCTCTAGGATCAGCACTGGATGGCAAACCACAAGGTCGACAGTTTGAATCTATCAGCTGCTCCTAAACCTTGTACAAGGTCACTATGAGTCTTAACCAGGGATGGGAAGGCACTTGACAACAACACCACATAGATAAAATGCATTCTAACACAACTTAGTGTGGCACTGTGGGTTAATGCATCAGACTGCAAAGCTGTTTGAACTGCAAGGTCAGTGGTTCAAGCTCACCAGTCACTCCTCGGAAACCCTATACAGGGTCACTCAGGGTCGGAACCGACTCGATGGTACTTAACAACAACAACAACAACAACACAACCACTTATCTTCAGCATATTCAAGAATTAACAAAGACTTTAGCAGAAGTATGTTAAAACGTAGTTTTACCAACAAGAGCTAAGTACTTCACATTTTTTGTTGTTGTTATTGTTGTTAAGTGCCGTAGAGTTGGTTCCGACTCATAGCGACCCTGCACAGGGTTTCCGAGGCTATAAATCTTTATGGGAGCAGAAAGCCTCATCTTTCTCCCGCGGAACCGCTGGTAGTTTCAAACTGCTGACCATGCGGTTCACAGTCCAATTCGTAACCACTACGCTACCAGAGCTCCTTCATATGATGAACCTTATCATTTAATTCTCATAAGACTCCCCAGATGCTAAGATGCTGACTTCACAGACTGATGCCAAACTTCTTGTTAAGTGCTGTTAACTGGATTTCTCTACTCATAATAACTCATGTGACTGAACAGAGGTGGCCCATAGGATTTTTGAAGCAGTGATTTTTAAAGAAGTGGTTCACTAAGTCTTTCTTTCATTGAACTGATGGGTAGATATGAAGCAAAAACTTTCAGTTAGCAGCTTAAAGAGGCTTAATCACATCGTTGGCATCATATGCTCAGCGAGTGCCAGAACAGAGCTGTGAATCCACAGTGCAAAGAACCCCATTCTGTATCTTGACATTAATGTTGCAAGCAACATCAACTTAATCTAAAGACACACAGTATGAAAAGAAGAAAGAAATCTGCATAAAGATGATGAATATAAATAATATCAGAATGAGATATACAGTTCACTATAACACATGCTTAATGCATCAATGCAAAAAAGTAATTTTAAAAGAGAATTTAAAAATATAATGACTAGTGACTATTTTCTCTACCAAAACACCAGAAATGTTTCTGTGAAACTAAAATACCAGTTATTTATCCTCATTAAAATCATAATAATGTATTAAAAAAAGAAGACTAAATGAAAACAAATCAAATAATGCATGATGCTGGAGGTATATGGACTTGTTTTCAACCATGCAATGAAGGATATGTTGAAAATTAAAACCTACAATCTAGAAACACCAAGATAGGAGTCAGTTCCAAGTCATAGCAACCATGTATAGAGTTTCCAAGGAGCAGCTGATAGGTTTGAATGACTGATTTTATGATTAGTAATCCAGTGCTTATACTATAGCATATCAGGACTCTAATGTTAGAATGAATGTCAAACAATATATTTCAGTCTTCATCCTGATAATATGATGTATATTTTTACAGTATATGTCTTCGCTAGCCCTTATTAATATTTTAAATGCTTTATTAAGCAGTGCACAAAACAAAATACACGTTTCTAGGGGTCTTCAGAGAGAACGGAACTGCTCAATGTTGGAAATTCATTAACTAAAATGAGTGATATGCAATATGATGGAGATGTGCGGTTGAGTCGGTTCCAACTCATAGTGACCTTGTGTAGGGTTTCCAAGGCTGTAAATCTTTACAGGACCAGGAAGCTCAACTTTCTCCTGTGGAGCGACTGGTAGATTTGAACTGCTGACATTTTAGTTAGCAGCCCAACATGTAACCACTAAGCTACCAGGGCTCCTTATGATCTGATACTAGGTGATAGAATATAGGCCATAGCATTTTCACCATAAGATATGACCTTTATACAATGTGATTATTTTAAATTTATTTCCTATGTCCATACAGTCATAATGTGATATGCAAAAAGCAAGGCTATCAATATGAGGGTACGTCAAAAAGCTTGTAGAAAAAAATACATAAACTTTGTTTCTCAACATAAGCTCTATCAAGATCAAGACATTTTTGTCAGCTATTTTGTTGATGTTGTTACATGCCAATGAGTCTGTTCCAACCCATAGTGACCCTGTATAGGGTTTCCTAGGAGTGGCTGGTGACCTTGAACTGCCAACTTTGTGGTGCAAACTGATTTTGCAGTCCAGCGTATTAACCCACTGCACCACACCATGACTCTATTCAGTCAGCCATTTGCTATTGTTATTGTTAAGTACCATTGATTTAGTTCTGACTCGTAATGACGCTGTATAAGGTTTCCAAGGAGTGGCTGGTCCAACCTTGAGTTCAAATGGACTTTGCAGTCTAGCACATTAACCCACAGCACCACACCAAAAGACTGAGGGTCCTGGGAATTTAACTGTGTAAATGTAGTCTCTTTTATTTTGTTACCAGAAAAAAAGGAGCACTTTAAAGATTTTTTAACAATGTTGTTGTTGTTAAGTGCCACTGAGTTGATTCGAACCCATAGCGACCCTGTGCAGGGTTTCCAAGGAGCAGCTGGTGAGCTTGAACCACTTACTTTGCAGTTCAAACGACTTTGCAGTCTGACGCATCAGCCCACAGCGCCACTCCAGGACTCCGATTTTTTAACATTAAGAAAATAAATAAATCAGAAGAGCTGAATGAGGACTTTAAAGTGGAAACCTAATGATTTCTATAGAAACTCTCACAAAACTTGTTTGATGAAAGGAAGGAGCAGGAGCATTGTGCTGGAGAAGGCTACTCTGGTGAAGCTTTCTCAGGTGTTTTACTGCTAAAACTTTTAGCTAACTTTCTCAAAATACTCTTGTAGGAAACAGATATTATTATTCTTTGGCCCTCCAGAAAGTCACAAGCAAAGCATTTTGAGCATCCAAAAGGAAAAAGATAACTCTTGTCATCACCTTTGCTCTTGACTGATACACTTTTGCTTTGACTGGAGAGCTTCCGCTTCTTGGTAGCCATTGCTTTGATTGTGCTTTGTCGTCGAGATCATACTGGTACAGCTATGTTTCATCTCCAGTTACAAATCTCTGAAGAAATACGTCAGGGCCTCGGATCCTACTTGTTTAACATTTCTATTGAAATAACTACTCTTGTCAGCAGAAAGTTGGCTCAACTTTAATTTTTCAATCAGAATTGTGTAAGCTGAGCCAATTGAGATGCCTATGGTTATAGTATTGGCTATTGTTTCTGCTGTTAATCATCAGTTCTCTCCAATTAGAGCATGAACCAGACTAGTTTTTTCCTCGAAAACTGATGTGGTCTGCCACTATGAGTTTCATCTTCAACATGGTCTTGTTCCTTCTTAATATGAGCTATCACGTTGAAAACTAAATTTCTTTGAGACACTGCCACATCAACTTTTCATAAAGCATCAATGATTTCACCATTCTTCCACCCACGGTTCATCATAAATATGATGTTTGTTCTTGTTTCAATGTTAGCAGAATCCATGTTGCTCTGATAGGGGCTATTTTCAAACTAATGTCTTAAATTTCTTGGTGCCTCAAACTAGATCCTGTTCAGACACAATACAACCAGTTGTTGTTGTAAAGTGCCGTCGAGTCAGTTTTGACTCATAACCACCGTGCATAGGGTTTCCAAGGAGTGGCTGATGGGTTTAAATTGACAACCTTGCAGTTAGCAGCCCAATGCTGATCCTATCGCACCACACCAGGTGTAAACACATTTTGAAATCCATGCATAATTCATATTCTCCGTGAACAATTTGAAGACCCTCTGGATAATATACACACACACTTCTTTCTTAAAATGATAGTTTTATTTAAAAAACAAAACAAGACAAAAACAGTAAAAGAGCTGAAAGATCCCTGGTGGCTCTATTGATTAAGTGTTGATAGGTCAGGATCGACTCGATGGCACTTAACAACAACAACAACAACAATCTAACCAAAAGGTGAGCATTTAGAACCTGTTCCGCAGAGAAAAGGTTTGGCGATCAACTTTGGTAAAGATTTCTGCTAAGGAAGCCCTATGGGGCAATTTCACTCTATCTTATAGGGTCTCTAAGAAATCCTGATGGTGCAGTAGTTAAGTCTTAGCTTGATAACAACAAGGTTGGCAGTTCAAACCCACTAGTTTCTTTGTGGAAGAAATATGAAATTGTCTGCTCCTGAAAAGCTTTACAGTCTCAGAAACCATAAGGCATTCTACATTGCCATATAGGATCGCTAGCAACTGTAAGTGGTTGGCTTGGTTACAGGGCCCCAAGTGTCAGAATTGAGTAGACAATGCAGAGCAACAACAACAAAAAAAATGAAGGGGCTATATGTTCTATGCTTGATATGTCGGCCTTCACCTAACTATGTCATGAAGCAGCTATGCAGTAGTTTGGATATGAATGATGCATTTAAACTCTGAAGGCTTTGCAGAGAGATACCTAAAAATTAAAAGCAAAAGCCTGCTCCACCTGAACGCTGCCACTAGGACTTATTATAGCATAAGAACTTGGACAACTTGACTCCTGTTTGTCTCATATGTAGGAGCTAGGACTCCTGGTGTGGCACTGTAGGATCAGCAATGGACTGCAAACCACAAAGTCGACAGTTCAAACCCACCAGCCTCTCCTCAGTAACCATAGGCATGATTGCTATGAGTCAGAACTGACTCAACGGCACTTAATAGCAAAATGCCCCATTCTGAAACCCACATCGATATCTACACGTTACGGGAAACCTTGAATAAACTTATTTGGATATTTCTAGTCAGGAAATATATTTCTATGCTCCAAAATTTTTCAACATTTTAGGAAACAACTAAAATAATTATCATTCTACGAGACTAAAAGCTTACAGTCTGATAGGGACTGCAGAGAGTATTGCACATCTGATGAGGGTCTTGAACCATGAAGTGAGAATTTGGATTTTTCCTTGTCTTTTTCTCCATCTTTACTCCTCTTCTTCCCAAGGTCTTTTGAATCTGTTTTCTCTAACATGTTAAAAAAATTATAATAAATCTTAACTATAAAGCCTCAAACTCTGTTACTTATTCAGTAAGTTCAGGGGAGACAGGCCAAACAATAGTATTCTTTAGATGTGAAACTATAGCCATTAATTTCCCAGTAGATTACTCCCCTCTAATTAGATACATCAAAATAAACTAAGAGAACACTATGGAAATTGACATGTATTATGAGAGACCTGGAGATTTATCTATTATCCACTACATATACATTTGTTTCGCAGAGATTACCCTGTGAATATCTTTATTTATTTAAAATTATAGTGTCAGGCTAATTTTCATATTTTAAAAACTAGCAAGAAAAATAAACAAAGCAACAACCAGCAAAGTGTGAAATTATAGTTAAATCTTAAATATGGAACTCTCTCAGATCATCCTTATTTGGGGTCTCCTGGAAACAAACACACCAGTCTGTCCTCAGGACATCTTCTTTTGGATCCCAGATTCCAATCAGTATTCAAAACCAAAATCTTATTGCCAAAGTGGCTTCTGTGCTAAAACACTTACATCAAAGGCTATCCCACCATTTGAATTCCCATTCATATGTAGTTTTCTACAGGGCATGTTCTCCCTCCACTTAAACATTTCCCCTTGAGATATTTATTTTCTAGCACAGTAACACCTGACAAAGTCAGAAATGGTATAAGGCAGAAATCTATCGAGACAAAAACCTCAAATATTTTTCACTAACAATGAGCCATGGAAAACTTGTAGGGCTGCACCCTGTGAAAGACAGAAAACCTGCAAGATCTGGGAAAACAAGGTAGTCCAGGGAGTCCCAGATCTGATAGGTTTCCCCCGGAATCTCTTCCAATTCTGAAACATTGCAGATTTCTGCCATTTCATACTCTGCACCACCTGCTAAGTAACCACCAAGAGTCAAGATTTTTTTTTCAAATTTCCATAACAACTATGGTATTAACCACTTATAATGTCCCTGAGTCTCAAAGATAGCCTATCTCATAGGATAGTTTTTACAGTAGATGTAACATCTATGCTTGATACAAAAATTAAGAAAGTTGTTACTTCAAACAAGGGATGAGAAATTTATCTGAGAAACTTAAGCATTAAAAAAGAGATCAGTCAAATTTTCCTACCCAGAGATGCAGTGAGACCTGGGATGGAGGCAGAGAAGACAACGTCAAGAGATGGTGGGGCTGGGGGCTCGGGATCAGGAGATGGACAGGGGCTGAGGACTGTGGTGGGAGGGGGGTGCAAGTTTACAGGGTACACCCCTTGGTTGGGTGAGGATGCATGGACAGGATGATAACTATGCCAACGAAATGATGGATGATGGAATGAATGTAAAGTTGATGTACTCCCGTGTAGATTATCACACAATTCACAATAAAACATTAAAAAAACAATTTATTTTGTATAAGCCTAAAATGGGTGCTGCTGTGGCACTGTAGGATCAGTACTAGACTGTTAATAACAAGGTTGAAGCCCACCATCGCACCTTGGAAACCCTTTAAAGGGTTGCTGTGAGTCAGACTGTATAGTTGTATAGAAACCCGGTATAGGGCTTCACAGGAGTGATTAATGGATTTCAACCATTGATCCTACAGTTAGCAAACCAGTGTTTATCCTATAGCACCACACCAGAACATGAAAAAAAAAAAAAAAAAAAAATAACAACCACTCGTTAAAAAAAAAAAAAAAAAAAAAAAAAACTAATTTTGTGCAGCAATATATTATTTCTCCATTTATAATTTTGAATGGGACTTTAATATTGTTCAAATTTCTGCTCATAATTAATTGCGAAGAATAGGTATTCCAGAACACTTAATTATATTCATGAGGAACCTGAATTCATAGACCAAGACGCAGTCATTCAAACAGAACAAGAATATAATAACGAATGGTTTAGAATCATTCCGTAAACTGAGCCAATAATCCAAGAAGTTCGATTATATGAAGAACCTGGAATCAGAACTGGAGATGGAGATCTGTAATATGCAGATGATACAATCTTACTTGCTAGAAGTGAAGAAGACTTGAAATATTTACTGATGAAGATCAAAGACCACAACCTTCAGTATTCATTGCATGTCAAAGTAAAGAAAGAAAGAAAAAAAAACAACCCTCACCACTGGACTAATAAATAGCATCATATTAAATGGAGAAAACAAATGAAGTTGTCAAAGACTTCATTTTGATTGGATCCACAGTCAACACTCAAGGAAGCAACAGTCAAGAAATCAAATGGAATATTGCATTAGAAAAACCTGCTACACATGATTTCCTTAAAGTGTTCAAGAACAAAGGCATCAGTTTGAGGACTAAGGTGCGCCGGACCCAAGCCATGGTATTTTCAATAACCTCATGTGATGTGAAGGTTGCAAAATAAATAAGGAAGACTATAGAAGAGTTTATACATTTGATTTACGATATTGGAGAAGAATATTAAAATGATCATGGACTGCCAGAAGAACAAACAAATCTGTGTTGGAAGATGTACTGCCACAATGTTCCTTAGAACTCAGGATTGCAAGACTTTACCTCTCACACTTCAGACATGTTATCAGGAGGGACCAGTTCCTGAAGAATGAAATCATGCTTGGTGAAATGAAGGGTCAGAGTAAAAGAAGACCCCATTGAGATGGATTGGCACTGTGGTAACATCAATGGGCTCTAGCATAACAATTGTGAGAATGATGAAGGACCAGATAGTCTTTTTTTCTGTTGTGTGTATGAGTCAGAGTCGATCTGATGGCACCTAGCAATAAAAACATTGTTATCAATGGAGAAGAGATTGAAGTTGTCAAGGACTTCATTCATTCTTCTTGGATCAACTATCAACACTCGTGGAAGCAGCAGTCAAGAGATCAGACGACGTATTGCACTGGGCAAATCTGCTGCACAGGAACTTTTTAAAGTGTTGAAGAGCAGAGATGTCAGCTTGAGGACTAGGGTGCGCCTGACCCAGGCCATTGTGTTTTCAATAGCCTCATATGGATGCGAAAGCTGGACAGTGAATATGGAAGATTATAGAAGAATTGATGCCTTTGAATTGTGGTGTTGGAGGAGAATACTGAAAGTGCCATGGGCTGCCAAAAGAACCAATAGATCTGTTTTGGAGGAAGTGCAGCCAGAGTGCTCCTTGGAGGCCGGGATGGCTAAGCTTCGTCTCTCATACTTTGGACATATTGTCCAGAGGAAACAATCGTTGGAGAGGGATGTGATGCTGGGTAAGGTGGAGGGTCAGAGAAAAAGAGGAAGACCCCAATGAGATGGATCAGCCAGGTGGCATCATTGATGGACTCAAGTGTGGCGGCGGTAGTGAGGTTGGCCCAGGATTGGACATTGTTTCGTTCTGCTGTGCATGGGGTCGCTATGAGTCGGTTCCGACTCGATGGCACCTGACAAAAACAACAACAACAACAGCAATAACAATAACACCTCATGATTCATAAACTAGAAATATTGCATAATAAAAACATAATTGAAAAATTATAGTTTCCCATATAAATCTGGATGTATACCAGAGTGTTTATCAAAGTTTTTTTTTCAACACATTAAGTAAAAGTGTTGTTTTACTGTCATTTCTTCTCACTCATCAGACATAAAATTTTTTTAAAAAAATTGGATAAACTAGCTGCTGAGTGCTGAGTCTTGCTAGAGATAGTCCTCCTTTAGATCTACAATCTTCTCTCTATTTTAAATCTCCATGAAAATATTCATCTACTATCTCCACTTCACACTCAGCTCAAAGTCAGACTATCAGCAATGCTCAACTTCTCCCTTCCAAAGGATCTGAACTCCTGTTTCCTCAGGAAACCTAACTGGTAACTGTCTGAGCACTTTCAATCATCACTTAAATATACTCAATTCTTCCTCTTTAAATATAAGTGGATCAACAAGTGGCATCAAGACAAATGAAGAAAAGAATGAAGCTATCAAGGATTCCATTTTACTTAGTTCTACCATCAATACCAATAGAAGTAGTAGTCAAAACATCAAAAGATGAATTGCACTGGGCAAATGTGCTGCAAAAAATGTGTTTAAAAGCAAAACTGTCACTCTGAAGCCTAGGGTGTCCAAGCCAGTATTTTCAATTACCATATGTTCATTCAAAAGCTGGACCATGAAGGAGGAAGACTGGAAAGTAATTGATGCTTTGGAATTATGGTATTGGCAAAGAATAATGACTCTATCATGTCCTACCAAAGAACAAACAAATCTGTATTGTGGAAGTATAACCAGAATTCTACTTCATAACGAGGATGGTAAGAGTTCTTCTCAAGTACTTTGAACATACTATTAGGAGGGTCTGGAGTCCTGGTGTGGTGCTCTGGGACAATGCACTGGACTGCAAAGTCAGTTTAAACTGCAAGGTTGGTGCTCAAATTCACCAGCTGCTTCTTGGAAATCCTACACAAGGTCGCTATGAGTCGGAACCAACTCAAAGGCACTTAACAACAGGAACAATTAGGAGGAACCAGTCCTTGGAGAAGGACGTCATGTGGTAAAGTAGAAGTCAATGAAAAGGAGGAAGACTCAACAAGATGGATTGACACAGTAGCTCTAACAATGTGCTCAAACGTAACAAAAATTGTGGAAATAGCACAGAACCAGAAAGTATTGTTCTATTGTACATAGATAGAGTCATTATGCGTAGAAATCAATTTCAGGGCACTTAACAAAAACAGATATAAATAAAAATGAAGCCCTTTCTGGATCCCACATTTCCTGCCAACTTCCACCTGGTAGCTTTCCTGCTCTTTACAGCCGAACTTTTCCCAGCTTTTTTGATACATTACTTCACTTCCCACTTACTGCTGAACTCTCTCCAATACCTTCCACTCCCATCATCAGTCAGTGCTCAGTGACCTTCAGCTCACAATATCCAGTGGAGAAATTTAACATCTTGTCATATTCTTTAGTAATATTTGATATAGATAATCTGACTCTTGAAACATTCTTTTCCATTGAATCTGTGATACATTGTTTTGTTGGATTTTCTCAAGCTTTCCTGGTCATTCCTTAGCCTTCTTTACAAGCTCATCTTTTCATACCTAGTCCTCAAATGTTTAAAATTTCTAAGGTTCAACTTCAAGTTCCCTACCCTCTACATTCTATACTATTTACATGACCTAAAGATTTGATATAATATCTCCCCTGCCTACTTCTCCAGGTTCTCTTTAAGCCACTCCATTCCTCTCTTTCATTCCTCCAGTTAAAGGCATCTTCCACCAGGTCTTCCAATACATCATCATCCCTCCTAATCAGTTGCAATTAAGTCAATTCCAATTCATGGTGACACCACGCGAGTCAGAGTACAACTGCAAAGAGCAGGATTGTCAATGGCTGATTTTTGGGAAGTAACTCACCAGGTCTGTCTTCAGAGGTACCCTTCTGCATAGATTAAAACCTCCAATGTTTTCTAATAGCTGAGCACACCGACCATTTGCACTACTTAGGAAGGGACTCTATCATTACTGCTAATGCCTCAAAATCTTGATATTTGCTGTTTCGTCTGCATGGAATGGAAGACCCTCATCTTCTTCTAGGTAATTCACTCTCATATTTGCAAACTCATCTCAAATTTCTTCACTGATGCCCCAGACTAGAGCAACTCACCCATTTAAGCCCCCAATATGTATCCTCCCATTAGGAGTCCTAGTGTGGTGCTGTGTGTTAATGTGTCAGACTGCAAAGCTGTTTGAACTGCAAGGTTGGTGGTTCAAGTTCACCAGTTACTCCTCGGAAACCCTAGGCAGGGTCACTATGGGTCAGATTCAACTCAATGGCACTTAACAACAACAACATCATGTATCCTCACATTTAGTTCCCTGTATTTCCCTAGGAAACAAGGATGATGAAACTGCATCTCACATACTTCAGAGACATTATGAGGAAGAAACCGTCTCTAGAAAAAGAAAACATCATGTTTGATATGGTAGAAGGTCAGTACAACAAGATGGACTGACACAGTGGCTACAACATCGGACTCAAACACAACAACAATTGTGAGGATGCTGTAGGATTGGGCAGTGTTTTGTTTTGTTGTTCTCAGGGTTGCATGAAACAGAACTGACTTGACAGCACATTAACAAACAATGTGTTCCCTTAAAGTTCAATTGTTACTAAGTAGTTATAAATTGACACAAAAAAATTTCAATTCCTCTCATTGGATTATAAATTCCAGGGGTGGAGCTCCACATTTTATTTTATTCACCATGTTATCTTCAATCCCTAAAATACCATTGGAACTCTATTCAGCAAATCACATGTTTAAATGAAGGAATGGGTGTATGGATAAATATTAATTTGAGACATGGAAACAGACTTTTAGGACTAAATTAACTTGGGTAATATAGGGTAGAAAAAACGTAATTGCTGTTGTTAGGTACAGTCAAGTGGTTTCCAACTCATATACAATGGAACAAAACACTGCCCAATCCTGCAGCATTCTCAAAAGTGCTGCTATCTTTAAGGCCATTGTAGCCACTGAGTTAGGTCTAAGGGATGGTCTTCCTCTTGTTTTCTGACTATATATTTTGCCAAGCACAATTCTTTTCTCTAGGAATGAGTCCCTCCGAACAACATGTCCAAACTACATAAAATGAAATCTGATCATCTGCTAAGGAGTCCTCTGCTGTACTTCCTCCATATAAATTTGTTCATTCTTATGGCAGTCTATGGCATAGTTAATATTCTTCACCAACACCATGATTCAAAGGTATCAAAATTCCTCAGTCTTCCTTATTCATTGACCAGTTTTCACATGCATATGAGGCAACTGAAAACACTGTGGTCAGGTACACTTTAGTCCTCAAAGTGGCATCTTTGTTTTGTAACACTTCAAAGAAATATTCTCCAAGTTATTTCAATTTCTTCTCTAAAATATTTCAAATAACTAGGCATTTAAACACTAGCAATTGTGGAGGAAAGAAGAATTAAATATACTAGAAAATACTCAGACTTATTGTAACTCCTGATAGCATCTATCATGATCTTTCAAATATTTATGCTTTTTTTTTAAAAAAAAATATTGATATTTTGTTAGAACGATTTATTGAGATCTCATCTACCAGCACTTCCCACAGTGTACTGCCCGTAAATTATTAGTTAACTGTTCCTCAAAATACACCAAGTCAAGTGTGTGAGTGATTTCTGTCTGCTAGAGACTTTTCTTGAAATGATGTAATCATACAAAAGAAAACAAATATAGAAGCTTAGTTACATTTGCTCATTGCTGTTTAAAGATCTCTTTAAAGTGTTAAAAAATAAAGAACACTTGGACAAATAACAGACAGGCCTAGAAATTAAACCATTATAACCATGAATCCTATGCTCCTTAGCATCAAAAAAGCAACATGGGCCCCAAATCCAAGATGAGAAAGCAGGGAAGGAAGACAGGGAAAACAGAATAATGCAAAAGGGGACCCAGGGAGAAAATGGGAAGGGTGCCGACACATTAAGGGATTACAACTAATACAGTAATAATTTGTATATGAATTACTGGCAGGAAAACGAATTTGCTATGTGAACAATACAATGTTCAAAAAAAAAGTATTGTTACTACCCAACCTACCCCGCACAAAATCAAAGAATAGATTCAATTAGACTTCCTGATGTGCTGTTTTATATGATTGTATCATTCCAAGAAAAGTCTGTGGTAGATGTCACTCATGCACTTGACTTGGTATAGTTTTGAGGAGCAGTTCACTAATAATTTATGTGTATTCTACTCCAGGGGAAAGTTGGTAGATGAGATCTTGGTAAAATATCAATATTTTATAAAGCATAAATATTTTAATGATAATGATAGAGACTATCGAGAGGTACAACAGATGAGGTTTTTTTTTTTTTTTGTATATTTAATGCTACTTTCTAATCAAGTTATTAAGTCTGTATAGTTATAGGAAATATTTTAGAGAAGATACAACATGAAAAATTACTTGAGATAGTCAAACATTAGAGAAAAAAATGCTACGCTTTGCAAAGTAACTTGAAATGATTTTTTGTGATTTGAAATTCTATCTTACAATACATTATTGTCAAATCACTATCATTGTCCAGTTCAGAATCCCTGGCAGGGAGGAGACATCCTGTTTTGATCCATTCTACTATATATATATAGCAAATATGAAAGCTAAGTTTTGCTGAACTAGCAAATATCATGTATGTATGTGTGAGTGTATGTATTTCACCACAATCAAAAAAGAAAGATGTTTTTGATAAAAATTGGAAACTTCATATCTCTTTCTATGCAATATGTATTCATTTAGTGCCATCTAAGTAGAGGATTGTCTTTGACTTTTCAAAAAAAGCAAACTATCGAACAATAATGAACATATTGTAAACAGCCTTACAGATTTTAAAGCTAGAAACAAAGGATTCTGACTAAGAAATGATAATAATCCTAATAAGAGTATTCCGTTCACCCATGATTATAAAACATGTATATACAATATCCATCGAGAATAACATTGCGTTCTAAAATATCTCACCTTTTTGTGCTCTGTCACTCTTCTCAGGCACTTTGAGAGTTGTCTGCGAAGTTTCAGGTTTGGTTTCTTTGAATTCTTTTCCCTCTTTCACCTCTTTTGCTTCTTTGCCATCTTTTACTGGTTCTTTTAATTTGGGGTCTACCTCTGCTATTTTGCTTTCAGAGCTCGGCTCATCTGAAAGCTTAAACTCAGGCAAGATTTCTTTCAAGAGTTCCCAGACTTTGTCCACATATCCTGGGCTTAGGCAAAAGATATCAATATTAAGTGTCAAGATGAAGTTTTTTTTACTCCACACATCAAGAGGTTACTGACAGAAAAAAAATGAACTTGTCATTTCACATAATTCATGTTAACAGATTATATATATATATATATATATTTTTTTTTTTTTTTTAAAGTAGCATCACACACTTATTAATTCAATAAAACTTTTCCCTAGTATCTACCATGTGCTAGGCTTTTCTGAAACAAACACCAAAAACATCACGGTTCTAGTCACAAGGATCATTTAGTCATGCTAACAGGCACGACAAGAAAAGCAAGTATCTGAGCACCTAAGAAGTGCCAGGCACTTTCCAACCCATTCTCAGCTTATGCAAATAGTGTAGATCTTATTTGGCTTTTCTGTGGGATTTGACAGTGCTTACCACTTTCTCCTCTAAACTCTTCCCGGAGGCTTCCACCGTCTCACTCTTATCCTCTGGTTTTCTATTTTACAGAAACTATAAAGTTCTATAAACTTATTTTGTAGAAACTGCAGACTTCTCTGAATACTCCTTTCCTATGTCCACTGTTCATGTCTCCTCTTTGTGTTCTTGTCATTTTACATACTGTTTCCTCAGTGAGCATGCACAACTATGTTTTGAGTTCACTGCTACATGGATGTAGTACCCAAATCATATAGCTCTAGCTCAAACCTCTCGCCTGATATCCAGAACAATGTATACAGCTACAGACATTTAAATGAAACAAATAATAAAAACAACCTTCTACTTATCTTATATGTCAAAAACCTGAGAATTTCAAGTCATCTCTCCTTAGCACCCTCATCAAATAAAATATCATACCCCTTTGGTCCTACCTCTTATAGTTAATACTCCACATAACAGTCAGAATCATTTTCTAGAATGTAAATCAGATCATATTGATCTCCTTCCAAAAACCTTTCAGTGGCTAAACAATACACTTGGAGGAAGTTTAAAATGCTTTGTCTTCACTGTATGACCATTGCAAAATCTCTGGCCTCATCACTGATCTCATCTATCTTGGCAACCATTTAGACACCTAGGTCTTTCTGTTTCTTAAATATACTAAACTTATTGACCTAAGGTTTTTATGTAAGCTATTTTTTTTAAATCTAATGATCTTCCATCAGATATTTCACTTAACTGAGTATAGCTTGTCATTCAGGTCTCACTAAGCTTAAATATGAATTCCTGAATGAAGCCTCTTGATCATGCAACCTGGGAATCCATGTAAACTGGGACTATAGAAGTGACCTTTGAATTCATGAATGGCTTTGTTAACTCTAACAACACTTATGTGCTAAAAAACAAAGCCCAAAAACTGGGATGAAATATTGCCACAGTCTGCTTCTGTAAAGATTTCAACCTGGAAACACTATGAGGCAGTTCTACAGTATCCTGTAAGGTCACTGTGAGTTTGAATTGGCTCAACAGCACATAACGAAAACAGCTAAGACACAGTGTGTATAAACTATTCATTCTTTAAGATTCTTTCTGAGGAGAAAAGGCTAAAATAATAATAATAAAAAAACATCATTGTGCATCTGTGATTTGCTTGAGTGACTGAGCTACCTCCTATTTACCACTAGACCCCTAGCTCCTAGCAACTAACGAGCATTCAGTAAAGACTTTTTGTTGTTGTTGTTCTGCATTTAATCTCACAAAAGCTGCACAACTTTTACTTGAGTTATAAAGAGGTGTTAAATTTTATGAAGTCACACAACTAGCAAATGACAAGATTCACACATCTTTCTGATTCCAAAGGCAATGTGTTTTTTAACTCCAATGTACAATACATGTTTTAAAATATTCTGCTATGTTAAAGAAATATTCATAGACCATATAATGAGGCCATATAACTTCTTGGACAATGAAGTTTAAAGATGCAGAAGCAGAATACCATGCCCATAGATGGACCACACCAACATCAGAGAAGTGTATTGAGAAAGAAATTATCCCTTTATTTGCAAATTTCAGAATTTTAATATTCATGTATTCTCAATATTGACTATGTTTCTGTTTTTATAAAGACTTAGAAGAAAAAAAAATTGGTTTGTTTCAAATAGTAAAACTAGGTTCATTTTAGGAGAACAAAAGAGGTGCGGCCAATAACTGTAAGTAGAATATTGTCTCCTTTTGGGACTCAGCCTGGGTGGCTGGAAAGGGAGAAGTTGTTTATTAGAAATATCAAAAAACACATGAACTGATTTTCACATGGAAAAAAAAAAAATCTGTCCTCACAATAAATTTGAAAGTTCAGCACCCTCTTTTTCATTGAACTCCATAAAACCATACGTCCTTCATGAACTTTTTCTCTTCCCTCCAATCCTTGTTAATTACAGAAGCATTTCACTCTGGAATATACATCGAACTTTTGCTCCTATGGTGCTCCTACCTTCCACCCCACTTGCCTTCCACAGTGAGACTGAGATCTAGTTCTAATTTTCTCTGTGAGGTCTTCCTTAATCCCTGTCTGAACCCTTGGCAGATGTGATTGCTTTCAGATTTTAAATTAAACATTTCTTCCCAAGTATGTACTATTTTATGACACTCTTTTCACTTAAATGGGTAAAAGTCATTTACTAACCTTGTGTGGAAGAACGAAAGAAATTTCCCATAAGCCATGATAACAGATCAAAAATAGTACATATCTTTTACCTTCTAGTTATATTTAGAAGAAAATTGATAAAACTGATTGTGTGTTCAGCCTCATTTATTCTTCTTTATACCTAACCCTGTTTAGAAGGATTGATTATTAGCTACCGTATTTCCATATAATATTAAATAATCAAATTGAAATTAGTAGGGAAGGAAAGAAAACGTCCATTGATTATGTCTACTCTACACTGGAGTCCTAGTGTGTGCTGCAGGGTAACGTGCTAGACCACAAGATCAGTTTGAATTGCAAAAAATGGCAGTTCAAATCCACCAGCCACTCCTTGAAAACCCTATACAGGGTCACTGTGGGTCGAAACCAACTCAATGTCACTTAACAACAACAACAAAACAACTCTACTCTAGCCACTTTTTCTGAGACCCATTCACTACCCTAATCTTTAGAGCAACCATATACAATAGATTTTTGCCTTATATTTTACAAACGATGAAATTAGGACCCAGAAAAGTTGCACTACTTACGTATTTAACAGAACTTGAATGCATAAGTGTCAGAATTTAGTCTAGCTATATAGTTCTCACTCCAAATCTCAATCCTTACCCCTTAAATGTTATTTTCATAAACCTTAAAAAAAGCAATGATAAATTCATTCAAATGAAACATCTAAAATCCTCCAAAGATTTCTTTCATTATTAACTATTAAAATGCCCCTTTGTTATTATGAAGCATAATTATATGATTCTAGGAAAAGATGCCTCAAAAATTTTAATAACTCGTTTTCTAGTTGTGAATTATTCTGATGGCCTGTTTCTTACACATCCTCCATGAGATTTCTGATGATTTCATATATCTCTGGTAGCTCCACTATCTACTGCCTAAGGAATATATGAAGGCAAACAATATAGACATTTAAGGCAAGATTTAAGATTAAAATTAAATAAATCTATACTTTTGAATCTTACTTCTCTACTTCTCTCCATTAACAATGTCTACATTCGGTCTGGAAGTTTTCTCTTAAACATCATAAAAAAGGTTTACATAGATGATCTGCAAGGGTGTCATCTGGGTTTTTCCTTACGAAAAAAATTGATTAGCTCTCCTTCTGGTGAATAGGCTTTTAAAGAAGGTGGTTAGCTTTAATTTTCTCTTTGCAAATATTTTTTATTTTATTATTATGTTTATTTTAACCAAACAACATCTAGCTTTCCTGCTGAAAAGATATTTTAGATGCTGGAACTCAAGCTAATAGAATCAGTCTTCAGTTTTCTCTACCTTAAACTTTAGGGAACTGTGGATTCCTGTCCAACCAAGATCTGAGATGACTCAAGTTGATCATTATGCTGGGGTTTTGATCATCTTGGGAAAATGAGGATCTGTATTGACTTCATGTCGATTGTAATATTTTCTTTCCATGCATCTTAACCAGATTAAGTTCCAATTGATAATGAAGATAAATATTGGTAAATCATCATAATGTATGTCTATAACCTTTCTGTATAAAGTAAAGCCATTTATAATATTTTCTATTTATCATTTGAAAGTGTGTTTATTGACATTTTAATGTATTTTATTATATTTTTGTTGTGGTTGTTGAGACTATACATAGCGGAACATACAGCAGCTCACTAATGTCTATATGTACAGTTCAATGACATTGATAATATGCTCAACTTGTGCTGCCATTCTCACCCCCCTTTGTTGACTTGTTCTTCCTCCATTGACTTTAACTCACTGCCACTGAAGTTTCCTGGCTCATCTTTTGAGAAACTGTTATCAGTTTGATACCATGTTTATTGATCTTAAAAGTGCCCAATAGACAAGGCAGACTAGTTAAGCTTAACTGGTTTTAAGAAAACCAAACAAGTTATGGACAGACATATAATAATAGCTTAGCTAAACTATCATTTAGTTTAAAGACAATGTCAGGTAGCGATTTGCTTTTAAGATTTAAAGAGTATCTCAAAGTAATTGTTTCAAGGACTCATTCAGCTTTCATGACTACAGAATCTCTGGATTCCATGAGTATTTGAAATTCTCTTTTGTATTTCCCATTCTTCCAGAGAATCTTGCACATAGACATTCTAGATACAATAAAAGATCTCTCTTTGCCTGAGGCAACAGAGGAAGGACAGTCAAGAATAGAATGAAAAAATAGAATGAACTCTTTTGCCATGAGATCAGAAGAAATAAATAAACTGTGCCTAGCAGGCATTTATAAAATTTTGAATAAGCATGACATTAAATGTTCTCTCTATTCCATCCTTTACCTTTTGAGAGAGATAACAAATATCTCTAGACAGAGAGTCATGTGAAAGAAAGAGTGTGGGCTTTGGATCGATAGAGACTTAGAGTCAAATCTTATCTCCCTACAAAATCTACTTGACTTTTGGGAATTCAAGCTCTCTGAGCTTCAGTGCTCTAACATGAATAGGGTAAATGTTTTCAGGGGACAATGCATTACATGATGATTAAAATAAAATATGTATTTTATAAAACATAGCATACTAAAACTATTTAATGCAGAATATAATCTTTATTATTACTAATTATTCCCTGATATTTCCGATAAATTAAAGGCATAGTTTATGCTTCTGTATTGAAAGAAGAGTAAGTACAAAGGGATACCAGTGTGTTTTACCATATTGTTGGTAATAAACCTTACTGCTTTACTATACTAAATAGCTGTCATTGGTCTAATATTTACAAATAAAATATTTAAAGTTTCAAAATCACAATACAATTAATGAAACAGAATGTTAGCAAGGAGTTTTACACAGTACGTTTTCCCCCAAATTTTGTAAACTGTGAACTTTCTTGAAAAATTCTGAAGAACTAAGAATATTTTAGTAAATGGAATACTACTCAGCAAGAAAGAAAAGAGTAGAGGTGAGTAATTAATTGTTAAACCTACTGAAGAGAAATGACTTCTGGTAGCCACCCTGTGAGGGCATGAATGACTGTGAACTCGCCCAATTCTCGCCTGTCTGCTGCGTGGATGCTAAAAAAGAAAATGCACAATGTTAGAGTCGCCAACATTGGAAAACACAGACTGATAGATAAGGAGGAGAGAATGACTAACAAACTAAATTAAAATAATAAATGTAGGCCATACACTATACATTAAACATATTGCTGTTATTAAGTGCTGTCAAGTTGGTTCTGACTCATAGCAACCCTGTACAGGGTTTCCAAGGCGTGTCTGATGGGTTTGAACTTCCAATCATGAGGTTAGCAATCCCATGCTTATCCTATAGAGCCACACCAATATAGCTACAGAAAAAAAACAAAAATACCTGTATTCCAACAGTCTGTGGATTTTTGTTAAAACTTATAACAGACAAGAAAGAACTGGCAATGAGTTTGTTTTTTGGGTTATTACTCATGTTGCTATAAACTTTACTAAACATCAACTTTACAGAAGACAAAATGTCACTCCAATGATCTCGGTCAGTCATATAATGCTCACTAGCCTCACACCTGTAGTTCTTAGAACTTCAAGTTAGGCCTAAGAGTTCGAATGTTTATTTATTTATTTATTTTTCAAATAAACAAGCATAATTGTCACCAGAACAGCACACCACTCCCATAAGGTATTAAAACCATTTTATGGATCTGGGCATTTAAATGGATCTGGGCAGAGTTTTTATAATAATCATTGAAAATAAGGGCTGCAAGCTTGGCAAGAGAAGTTTCCAATGGGAAATTGAGGGTTGGTAAGAGAAAGAAAAGAGAGACGAAGAGGATGGTGGTAGGAGTGGTTGTTTTTGTTGTGCAGCCTTAGGGGAGAAAAATGAAGCTGAGCTGAAAGAAAATCCACAAAAAGCAGATGTGATTTCCGACTGGTATAACTGTAGTTATGGAAGAAAAGGGGGCTAAGCTTTGAGAAGATGACTGAAATGGTCTGTTAAAGCATGTGGGTGTGTTCTGTTGAATGTGAGATGTTATTACACACTGCAGGTGGAGATGGGTGCCAAAATTAAGCCCCTGCAGTATGTGTGGGAATTCTCTCACTGAGCAATGGTATAGAGTTGTTGTGAACTTCCAACTTAAGTATCTAATTTTTCTGCATTACTAAGACTTGAATAGAATGAAAGTAGGTCTCTTGAGTTCAAGCTAAGAGAAGAGAACATAGCAAATATATGTCATACATGCTAGTATCCAAGTCACGCAGGATTATAAGATGCAAGCAGATTTTACAATAATACTGAAAGTAAAATGAGCAGTTTTCATCAGAATGCATTCAAAATGACCAATGTTAATGAAAGCAGGAGGAGTGTATTAATGCACTTGAGAGGAATTACATTTTTTTTCAGATTAGTAAATTATTGCTGCAGATGGAGAATCTAAAACTTCACCTGTATTCTAGTATATATCATTCAGTATTTACATGAACCAATATTCTCGCAACAAAACAATTTATTTCTGCAATTAAACTGAAACACTGTTTTTCGCCTTCTATGATTAACTTTCCATTTGTAATAAGAACACATTGGATATAGGATGCATTTGATTATTTATTTGTGTCTTATTTCTGGCTAAATCAATACTTCAAAATCTTTGTTTTTCATCAGAAGAAACTGATATCTCCTTATAAGGCTAAATAGTGGTTTTGACACATTTATTTCTATGTTAGAAAGCTTACACTGGTGCTTTGTTTTGTTTCACTATTAACATGCTTTAATATTAAAGTAAAATAAAATTGGAGTAGGATGGTGAAGTAGGCAAACATGGTGAGTGGACCCTCTACAAAAAAGATACAGAAGATCAAGTGAAACAAATACAGATGGTGATTCTGGAAGCCTGAGCTTCAGAGGAAAAGAGGATAGAGAGTTGGACTGAGTAGGAGAGGGAGCAGAGTGGGACTACCTGATAAGGAATTCAAAAGAATGGCATTTAGGTATGTTTCAGTGCTGGTGTGGTACTGTAGGATGAAGCACTGGACCTCCGTGTTTGTTTGAACCACAAGGTCGGTGGTTCAAACTCACCAGTTGCTCCTTGGAAATCCTATACAGTGTTGCTATGAGTTGGAACTGACTTGATGGCACTTAACACCAATAACAAACCTTCCTGTGGAGTCCTGATGTGGCACTGCAGGATAAGCACTAGACTGCAAGTTCATTTGAACTGTAAAGTTGGTTCCTTAGAAACTCTAAAGGAGAATTAATAAGACTAAGCTCTGATTTCTCAGAAGAAATCATGCAGACACTAAAACAATAGGATGACATGAAAAAAAATTCTGAAAGAAAATTAATGCTAAACAGCAATTATATATCTAGTGAAATGGTCCCTCAAATATAGCAATGGAATTAGGACATTTCCAGATAAACAGAAATTAATAGAATTTGTAAAAAGCCAGACCAACTGTACAAAAAATACTAAAGGGAGTTCTCTTGACAGAGAACCAACAACAACAAACAATCTGAGATTAACATATATGACATATCACCCAGAACTCAACCCAAATACAGAAGTCTCCAAAGAAAAACAAATATAAGACTGAAAATGGGGAACAAGAGTTATCAGTATGCAAGAACAACAAAAAATCCCCTCACAGTAAAAAGATGAAATAGTGCAGTTAACAAGACTTTCAAATGAAGATGAAATCAAGTAGATTGGTAGGTAGAAGGGTAAGTAGATAGATGACAGAAAAGTAGATAGATAGATAGATAGATAGATAGATAGATAGATAGATAGATAGATAAAACAAAATAAAAATAAACCTATTACCCTAAAAGTAGACTATTGTTGTTGTTGTTATGTGCCGTCGAGTCGGTTCCGATTCATAGCGACCCTGTATAGGGTTTCCGAGGCTGTAAATCTTTAAGAGAGCAGAAAGCCTCATCTTTCTCCCGCGGAACAGCTGGTAGTTTCGAACCACTGACCTTAAAGTTCGCAGCCTAATTCGTAACCACTATGCTACCAGAGCTCCTTTATAACCCTAAAAATAGACTAAGTCTTAATCCTAGAACAAGTCCTACTCTTTACACTCACCCTAGTCCTAACCAGAACCCTAGCATTACATGAAACCCTAGGCTTAGTTTAGACCTAACCATAGTCCTAATCCTAACTCCTTATTCCTACCCCCTCAAAAACAGATTTAAAAAAAAAAAAGAGAGAGAGAGAGAAAGTTTGCACTGTTTGAAAAAAGAGCATTACTTATTGATTTTTAATAAAGCTATACAATATGGATGAACAATTTCTGTCTTTTTATTTTTATAGGAATGGATGATAATGCCTCATTCTACATACTCGACATTTGCCAATTTAATGATAGCTTTAGACAAAAGCATTGGCCAGAGTTCAATCTCACAGGTTGTAGTTGGAAGCAATAGGTTGTTATCTTCATCAAATGGAAGAAAGTCATCAATAGTTATTTTTCTCCAGCAACCCTAAGAATGAGAAGAAAATTAAACACATTTAATATAGTAAAAGTCTTTGGAATTAAGGAGTATACCATCAATTATATTGCTTTCCCTCATATATCATTTGGCATTGCTGACATTACTATTCATCATTTAACAACATTGTTCATATTATATCTGCAGACTGGTACATCCAAGAATGAGAGACTGACTGTTTTTCAGTAATACTCTGGCTGAGTAGATAATTATAACATATCCATATCTGAAAGATGAGTGTATATGTGTACGTGTGAGGGAGAGAGCATGAGCAGGCATGGGTTCTAAGAGGGGAGAACAACTCGGCATCAAGGAGTAAAACATTTCACCATGGAGGAAGAAATGATTTCTAAGCAAAATTTGTCAATGATACTAATAAACTATGGAATGATTGATGCTATTTGATCTATAATGTACCTCCGTGTCTAAAGTGACAAAGTCTTTTGCATCAGATTTTACAGTGGATTGGTGTTCTTATTTGCCAGATCTTTTGAACATATTCTTGGTTACCATAGTCTACATAATATATTGAATTAAAGTATTTGTAAACAGCAGGATCAAAACATTATTTAACAATGAATAAATCCAAGCATGACTAAACAACTTAATACAGCCAAAATGCAAGTTATCCAATTATAATTTTATTAATTCTTGTTTTTCTTTTCTTTTTTTTTGTTGTGACTTATGTGATAGTTTACATGGGAGAACATTAGCTTTACATTCACCCTATCATATATCGTTTCATTGTCATGGTTACAATCCCCTCCATGCATCATCAACCAACCAAAGGGTATACCCTACAAACCTGCCCCCCAGTCATCAGCACACAGCCCCTCTCCCTCCCTGGGTCTAAAGTCCCCAGCTGCTCCATCTCTCCACCTCATTGTTTCTGCCTCTATCTCTGGCATCACTGCTTCTCTGGTTAGGTCCTGCTGTCCGTGCTTCTCCCTTGATAGTCCCAGGGACCTCTGCTCCTAGGCTGCAAAATCAATCACTCCCTTCCTTTTGCTACAAAACATCTACCTTTATGTCTACTTTCCCAACCCTCACAATCAGTCCTGATAATAATTATTCACTATTATCACAAGAGACCTATCCACATCTCCTTTCATCAGCCCCGCCCAAACAGATTGGATACTACTCAGTGGAGATTCTATCTCTGCTGTGCCCTCTGGATCTAGGTTCCCTCTGGAAAGCTTATAAGCTTTCTCGCCTTTGTAGCCCTCTCCCTCCCCATTTTGGGTAGCCAATGTCCAAGTTGCCCATCCCTGTCTACTCTGTGTATGGAGGGGGTGGGAATGATCCTTGCTGTAAAGATTTGTTCCCTCTTTTGAGCTACTGCATCCATAGGTGTAGGTCAAGTTCACCAAATTGTATCAGATTCCTCTTTTTTTCCTCTTCTTTCTTCTTCTAGTTGAGCTCTAATCATCCAGTCATTGAAGACAGGTCATGTGGGAATTCTTGCTTTTCTTGATGGGGTACTTTTTTTTTTATTACCAATTACCCTATGAGTATTACTTTTTGTTGTGCTGTTGAGTTGACTTCAAACTCATAGTAATCCTACAGGACAGAGTAGAACTGTCCCAAGCGCTTCCAAGATTGTAAACTTTAAGGAAGTTGACAGCCACATCTTTGTCTTTCAATCCAATGACCTTTCAGTTAGCAGGTGAATGCTTTAATCACTGCATCACTAAAATACTGCCATCTAATGGATTCTAAAAGAGGGGTGGGGTTCCCCACCCCTCTTTTGGCTCTTGTTACTGTATTAAAAGGACACAGCGCTGGGCAGCGTTGGGAGGTGCGGTGTGGGTGTCAGGCTGGTAACATAGTGGTTACAAATCGGGCTGCGAACCGCAAGGTCAGCAGTTTGAAACTACCAGCTGTTCCACAGGAGAAAGATGAGGCTTTCTACTCCTGTAAAGATTTACAGCCTCAGAAACCCTGTACAGGGTCGCTATGAGTTGGAACTGACTCCACGGCACATAACAACAACAATGGATTCCAACTGCAAGGATACTATAGGACAGAGTAGAACTGTTCCATAGGGTTTTGGGGGCTGTAAAACCTTATGGAAGCCATCTGCCTTATCTTCCTCCCACTGAGTGGCTGATGGGTTCCAAAGACCAACCTTTTGATTAGTAGCCAATGCTTAAACAATGTACCACCAGGATCCTTACATTACTCCTATTTCTGATGAAATATGTAAATTCTAACATTGAAAAAATATAAGCTATATTTTAACGTTTTAAAAACATAACCTGATTTAATAAAATATTCATAAATTTACTGGTATGTGAATTGTTGTTGCTAAATGCCATCGAGTTGGTTCCAACTCAAGTTGTTGTTAAGGGCTGTCGAGTCAGTTCCGACTCAGAGAGAACCTGTATTTTGTTTCTGAGGAGCAGCTGGTGAGCTTGAACTGCTGACTTTTTGGTTCAAACTGACCTTCAGTACTTGTTCTGTGGCACTACACCAGGACTCCAGAAATCGTTTATCCAGCATGTAATTAAATTTGAAATTAATAAAGGAAGACAGAAAAAAATATCTGGATATAGAAATTATTTTTAAAATATTTTCTAAATAAAATATTTTAAAAATATTTTCTAAATAAACCGAATTGAAAATAAAATAAAAATAAATGATATGAAATTGGACAAAAATAACATTATATATGAAGCAATATATATTAAAGTAAAATCAATAAAAAACAAGACAAATAATAAGCCTGATCAATATGTCTTACTGGATTTTTGGAAAAGACCAATAAAAAGAAATTTTGAAAGCTTAATCAAGTAAAAAAAAAAGAAGAAGAGCAAGAGAGAGAATAAAAGAAAACATTACCAATAAAGAAATAAAAGCAAATCAAAGTCTATTGAGAATTAAAATAAAATATAGCAAATATATGAAGATATATATAATATAGATTAAAAATAAACCTAAAATCTAGACAGCTGAATAATTTTCTGGGAAAAAAAATTGCCAAATAATGGCTTACAGTAGTAGAAAATGAAAATGGATAAATAACCATAGAAATAACTGAAAGTGTAAACAATGATTTCCTAAGTAAGTTGTCACCTTCAAATGGTTTTGAATGAGATATCTATCAAAACTTCAAAGAGGAACTACTCCATATTACATAGGATGAAAAGAGGACAGCAGAGTGGTTAAGGCTGTTATAACTGGATTCCAAAGCCTCCTACTAAATGTTACTCTTGTCATTGGTTAGCCCAGGACTCATCATGATGGTATGAACAAAGGAGCTAAATGCTTCGCAGTCCTGTGCCAGCCCCATGATCAGCTGAGGCTCAGACGCTGAGATCCAGAGTTTTCACTGTCAGATTTTCAGAAGTCAATTCACAGCCCTTTCTTTGTAGCCCATTTTAGTCTGAAAGCTTTGCTGGAACCTGTTCAGGATCACTATTATTGTTATTTTAAGTGCTGTCGAGTCAGTTCTGACACACAGCGACACTATACAGGGTTTCTGAGGAGCAGCTGGTGGCTTGAACTGCCGACCTTGTAGTTTAAACTGACCTTGCAGCCCAGTGCATTAACCCATAGTGCCACACCTGGACTCCTGTTCAGCATCATAGCAACATGCAAACCTCTACTAACACATAAGAGATGACTGTCTATAAAGTGCACTAGCTAGAACTTGAACCTGGGTCTCCCACAAGGACACAAAGATTTTACCACTGACTCACCAATGGCTCCTACTACTAAACGACTGCATAGTACCTTTAATCCTCACAACAATCCTACAAAATAGGTGGTTGTTGCTGTTGCTCTTGTTAGGGGCCATCAAGTCAGTACTGATTCATAGCAACCTTATGCTCAACAGAACAAAACTCTTCTCAGTCCTATGCCAATCTCACAATTGTGCTATGTTTGAGCCCTTTGATGCTACCACTGTGCCAATCCGTCTTGCTGGGGATTTATTATGTTACTTACTGGTCCAGTGGTAAGGATTTTTGTTTTCTTTACATCGAGGTACAACCGATACCGAAGGCTGTGGTCTTTGATCTTCATCAGTAACTATTTTAAGTCCTTTTTGCTTTCAGCAAGCAAGGTTATATTATTTGCATATCACGGGTTGTTAATGAGTCTTCCTACAATCCTGGTGTCACATTTCTCACATAATCCCGCTCTCAAATTATTTGCTCAATATACAGACTAAAGAAGAATGGTGAAAGAACACAACCCTAGCAGACACTTTTCCTAATTTTAAACCATTCAGCATTCTCTTGCTCTGTTCAAACAACCGCCTCTTGAGCTATGAACATGTTTCTCGTGAGCACAGTTAAGTGTTGTGTTCTGGAATACTCATTCTCCACAATTTGTCCATAGCTTGTTATGTTTCACACAATCGAACCCTTTTCATAGTAAAGTAGATGGTGTGGGGTCCTGCAAAGTCATTTGAACTGCAAGGTCATTGGTTCAAGCTCACCAGCTGCTCCTTGGAAACCCTATACAGGGTTGCTATGGATCGGAATTGACTTGATGGCACTTAGCAACAACAACAAAGTAGGTGGTAAGGAGCTCTGGTAGTGCAGTGGTTACAAGTCAGGCTGTTAACCTCAAGGTCAGCAGTTCAAAACTACCAGCTGTTCCATGGGAGAAAGGTGAGGCTTTCTGCTCCTGTAAAGATTTATAGCCTCAGAAACCCTGTACAGAGTCACTATGAGTTGGAACCGACTCCACGGCACATAACCACCACCACCACCAAAGTAGGTGGTTGTATCTTCATTTTAGAGATGAGGAAGTTGAAGCTGTGACAGGTTAAATGGCATTTCATCTATAAATGTCATTAAGTGCTCTCGAGTCAATTCCGACTCAGAGTGACCTCTATAGGGTTTTTGATGAGTGGCTGGTAGGTTTGAACTTCTGATCTTGTAGTTAGAAGTCCAGTGCTTTTCCTACAGTACTACACCAAGAATCATCATATATAAACAGTTTGTAATATATATAATTTTGACAAATAATTCTCCACAAAG